GAGTATAACATTATAACATGATATAAAACTCAAAAAAGTTGATTTTACATGATATTGCCCCTTTAAAACTTTGTCTTGCAAGATGGCGGATGAAATGCATTCTTCAATTAATGTTACTTTTTTAGCTTAATATATGTGAAAACATGAGATTTCCTTGTGAAATTCATGTGTTTTTCTTTGAATGTTAGAACAAGATCACCTTTGAAGAGCCACAGACAATAATCCTGTTTTGCTGCAGATCCTCGCTCAGGCTAAGGGATTGCAGTAATGATACATTCTAGGTATTTTGTATTAGATTTAAYGTATTTGCACCATGTTCTATTTGGATTAAACTGGACTATTAGGGTTTTGAATTTGGATCCGTTTTGAATGAATTGCATTGGATGGGATTTGCTAAAAACTGGACCCGTTTGYCTTTCCGTACAGTGTCCTGAGAGGATTTCAGATGGGAATTAGAACTGAATAAAACACTTGGACCAAAATAAAATGAAATGAGGAACAAGGTTTTATGTGCTTTTAGACTTCAAACATTTAGATTGCAAGCATAACATGTTGAACGTCTCCATACTTTAAAGATTCTTCAAAGGCTTAAAATAAATTAGCAAACAGCTTTAGCCTCCGGAGACCCTCACATTAGGATGATGGCTTTGCTGCACATTATTTATTCTGTCCAACTTTATCTTGTTATCCTTATTCAACAATACATTTATGGAACCTTTTTACTTAATTTTCTTATTAACTTTTTTTATTTTTATCTGTTTCAGTTAAAAAAAATTGATTCAATTATTCAAAAACAATGGCTTTGTATCTGAGAGGTACTAATCCCAAATAGTTTGGTGGCGAAAAAACACAAAAAATATAAATCTTGCAGCTTGGGAGTTTAGGTTTTTCACAAAACCCACTGAGTCAGCAGAATGCTGTAAGAGCCATAATAATCAAAGAGGAAGACTGAACCAAAACAAAGCAGAGCGATGTCCTGATGTGACAGATTGACACAACAATCTTTAACCTGGCATTGATTTGAGCTCTGGATTTAACGCCTGACCTCATTCATAGGAGCAGTCTGAGTGAGGAGATTATCTAATGTGTGTGTGTGTGTGTGTGTGTGTGTGTGTGTGTGTGTGTGTGTGTGTGTGTGTGTGTGTGTGTGTGTGTGTGTGTGTGTGTGTGATAAAAATCTGACAGTGTTGTAACAATGTAGAAGAATAAAACCAGAAGATAAAGCGTGAACGCTTTGAAATCCAGATAAAAAATGAGATTCTGTAAACTGGTTTAATCTCAGAGAACTGGCCRGGAGTGGTTTCAGGTCTGATGAGGAGACGGGGAAGGCGTGGAGGGAGATCTCCTGCTAACTGTTAGTCAGAGCTGCAAATATAGCTGCTCACTGCCCACTCTCTCCTCCATACATCCCAGCAGGCCGAGGGCAAGACATTCTTCTTCTCTGAACGCTGCGTGTGAAGGCGGCTTCGCTTGTTGGGACTGAACACGCTGCATCCATCAAGTCCCGACTTCTGTGGACGGTTAGCCTGTCAGCCTGTTACTCAAGCTGTGATTCCTCCTCAGCAACAGTGTTCAGAAAATGTAAATGTCCTGTGAGTCAGACTTGCTGTTTGCTGGCCTGGGGGTGCTAAGGGATGGGGGCTTCAACAGAATGCAGTCAGACAGCTCCACCATGTTTAACTCAAACAGCTTTATAGGCTTGTCTCACCCTTAGATGTTTATTCCTTCTCCATGCTGGGTTTTAATAATTCAAAAGGTTATTTGCATGAAGCTGCTTATTCAAATTACTCTGTGCTGGTGATTATGTAGGGTTAGCACTTCCCTCTCTTTGCGGCTGGAAACGGATATTATAAAAGGTATTTTATTTATTTGACAATATGAACTTGAAATATGACACGTCTGCTCAGTGTAGTGCAGTGTGTTCATACGGAACCAGAGCTTTGAAATAAAAARGACTTTGCTGAGCTGTACAGAACCAAAAGTCATGCAGATAATCCCCTCACTTTGTTTGGAGCCTCTAGGTTTCAGAAWCAAACATCCAGTGAGCTGTTCAGACAAACAGGGTTACTCAACTGACCGGTCAGTTAGACTGATCTTATTATATAGATCCATGTCMACATCTTTCACACATWGCCAGGTGTGGGCCAGATGTGRTGTTAAGCTGACCCTGCTGGCATGGCGAGTGGTTTGTTGACAAGATGTGGGCCAGGCCTGGCAACGATGGCACTTTTTTTAAGATGGCATGACAAACAGTGGTGGTTTCGTTTATGTGGTGCTGGCCTATGCTTGGACCACCTCTGGCAATCTGTCCATGCCAGTTACAGCCCACAGACAGTTTACAAACACTTGGCCTTGACACCACAAAGAATGATGGCTCTTGGCAAGGTCTTCTCTCCTGCTTCAGTGTTATTAGCAGGATTTTTCTATCTGCAGCAGAGAAGCTGTCATACAAACAGTGATACAGTGGATCAGGATGCCTTCGATTGCTTCTCTGTAGAATGTTTTCATGATAGGTGTCRGTAGTTTGGCATTTTTTAGTCTGTGTAGTGTTAGTGGACTGGATCATGTTGTCACCATTGTGCACCCCCAGAAACTTTGTGAGGTTTACTTTTTCCAACAGCAGTATGTGTTGACAGTCAGYAGGGGGTGCTCACTGCTGCAYCTCCTAAAGTCCAAAACCATCTCCTTAGTTTTTTCCACATTCAGTATTAGAGGATATTGTTGTCTCACCACCTGGTCATTTGCTCCACCTCCTCTCTGTACAATGAATCACTTGTTGTTGAGAAGCTCCGCTACTGCTGTGTCATCTGTAAGCTTCATGATGTGTCAGCAGAGTGAACAGAAGAGGGCCGAGAACACAGCCCTGGGGAAAGTCAGTATCTAGGTGATGCGGCTGGAGGTTCTCCTCCTGGTGCTCACTAACTGAGATCTGCCTGTAAGAAAGTCCACGATCTAGCTGCAGAGTGAGAGCAGCAGATACATCATCCTCAACAGGTCTGTTTGCATAATATTTGTACTGGTGGGAGTCAAAATAAGGGGTCAGGAGGGTTTTGATGTTCTGCATGACCAACCTCTCAAAACATTTCAGAACCATAATTGTTTAGACATGACACAGAGGACATCTTTGGAATAGTGGCGAAAGATTTCAGGCAATTTGAAACCACAGTTTGGCCTCAGTATTGTGTAAAGAAACTTTTCAAAGCCACAACAGCTTGGCATGTTTTCCTAATGCTGCTCATCAACTAATGGCATCCTTTTCTCCGACCAGATTTTGATGCAAGGTCATACCCTGTGGTTGTGTTGGTCACTCTGGAAAGAACAGCACATCCAAGCTGATCCCACAAGTGTTTAATAGAGGGTGAGTTCTATAGGCATGACACTCACACAAATGAAGTTTGCCAACACATGTGTCATCATTTTAAAAGGAACATACAAATAAGAGATTTATTACCACTAAGCATTGTTACAATAAATAAGTGACACAAATTATCTTACATTCTGTGGTATATTTAGTTCCTAAAAATAACCAGTGACACATTAGTAGCACGTTTCATCTTTTATATCCTTTAAACTTTAAAAATCAGGCTTTTTAAGATTTAAAACAACTTTTTTTGTCATTTCAATTTTTTATATTACAAAAAGTAAATAAAGGCTCAATATTCCCTGGCATTCAGTCTTTCTTGCCAGAGTTGTAGATTGAGATAAGGTCATGTTGATAAAWGACAAAGTTTGTGTTGTTTGAGTCAAAGCTTGAAAATAATGTTCTGCAAGACTCAATGTCTTGGCTCTACTGGTCATTTAAAATCATGTTGACTCCAAATAATAAACCGTCGTGGATGTGGCATTCAGTTTTTGGAGTTACATTAAAATACCTAGTTGAGATATTTTGCTAAAATGACAGGCAAACGTATACACTGCCAATTTTTTTATCACCAGCCTTTCACCTTTTGGTGGTGGGTGTTATATATTGGTAAAAAAAGAAAACAAAACAAAATGYAACATGTTTACATCACTTCTATATTAGCTTCTAATATCTCAGAGAAATGAACRGCATAAACTATTAGGTGCTTTAAGGGGCAGGAAATGTAATTTTTGTCCAAATGCAGTTTTTCATGGCAGCTTGTAGCTTGAGGGCAAATGTCAAAATACTGCAGTTTTTAATTAATTAATTAATTAATTAATTAATTAATTAATTAATGTAGTTTTCTTCTAAAAATCTATATTATTATTATCTATATTAGGCTGGGAGGACTTTGTGCACAGATCAGCATTTAGACCAAAAACATCATCACAAACTTTTTATTTAAATCTAAGAAAATTGCATGAGCTTGAAAAATAAGTTTACACTGACCCACTTTGTGTGAATTAAATTGTCAGCATTTTGTCACAAAGAAGCACATGGTTTGCTGAACATTATGAAGAACCACATTCTATRTACTAGGAAATGTTTTACTCACAGATGCTGCTTCTCTCTGGAGAACGGATGAGACAGGGACTTGACGTTTTGTGGTCGGGCAGCATTCACTTTGGGGTGAAGAGGACCTGTGATTTTGTGAATGAACAGACGGACCTTCTCCACCAGATTGCTGCCTTGTTTAACCTCATAAACCTGAGAAAGAAACAAAAAGGGCTGTGGCTRTTATCTCAGACATACCATGTGCTGAATGTTACACAACAGGCATCCACTTGTACAATTAGATAGCTGTTAGTTGCAAACACATGTACTGTACAATAATCTGTCAAGAGACAAAGTGGATGACCGTCATTATATGCATAGAAATAGGCCTTTTTGACTAATTTACCAACTTAAAAATACTTAAAATTAAATACTTATATGGCTTTTTCCCAATTAATAAAACTATTTTAACAACTGCTACTAGCTTTGAAAGCAAAACAAACATATAACATAGCATTTTATTTTGAAAAGACTATAAAGTAACAATTATGGACATATGAGCTCTGCTTTACTGTACCCTACTGTAGGAWCATGCACTCCCTTGCATCTATAGAACTGGTGAAAATGATGAAATATAAAGCTCTGAGGCAATCAGGGTTAGCAGCACATGTTTCTGTGCCTGAAGCCTTTTAACTCACTGAAAGTTTTCCTGCTAACCCTCAATCATGTGAACATATTTGATTTAAACATGAAACACACAACAGTCTTAAACCAAAAGGCAGCGACTGAGACTGATTTTTCTTTTTCTGTTGTGTTGACACTAGTTGGGCTATGTTAATTCGCCCTGGATTAAATAAGCATGAAAAATTGCTACATCAAGTAACTGGAATTTCTCTAGTGAGTTAGCTACTTTGTATTCTGTGCCAATATCAGACCTACAGTATGTGAATTTCACAAGTAACTAAAGCAGGTGATCCAGGGAGCCGTTTGCTGCTCGGTTTCCTTTTCTAAATAAATAAAAGTTGACATTTTCCTGAATGGTAAATGACCAGCAGATAAAAAGGACAAAACACAGGTAAGAGCTGTTTAATGTGCCAAAGGGTAATTGTTTGTTGGACGGAGCACCTTCTTTGTTGGCATCTTGACCTTCATGAACTCAGCTTCTCGACACAAAACACTCCAAGGAGCATGGATCTTCAAGAAGCCAATGCCAGGGATTTTATTCTGAAATACAAAACATTTGAAATAGTAGAAGGGAAATGTCAGTGTCAGGAAACACATGGAGTAGGCAATAAATGGACAGGTGGCAAAAAGACGCAGACAGATTTTTGAACAACAAAAAATTTGACTGTTTGATGGAAATCCTCTGCACTGATTAAATAAATAAATAAATAAATAAAATAAACTTATCTTTTTAAATGCCTATGACATTGTGTCTGCAGCTTGTTACGTTACATAAAGCCACTTCTGCAGCACCAGACTTACTTGACGCCCCCTCCCCCAGCTCTGCACGCCGACCTGTCTGGATGAAGGGATGAATAACAGTAGACTGAAACAAGCTGCCTTACTGTATTCACCACGGATAAAATAGACTTTCCTTAAAGATTATATAAGCTCTATAAACCTGCTAGGATAATTATTTAATTGYTTATTATTAGTAACGTATCTCATCAACTGTAGTTCATTTAAACATTTAAAAAAGAGAGGATTTTTAAAGACCAGTATTTTTATCTTGTAAAAATGTAAATGTGCATCTGTAGTTGTTATGCAGCATTTTTTAAAAAGTGAGATGTAAAATACGTCTTTCTGTTCTTGTTCTCCATTGGTTAGCGGCTAATGCATCTCTCAGTAAAACATTTCAAGCAGCACTGATATGAGGCATTAACAGAATTAGTAAAGGAAACTTGATTCCATCCATCACTTTTGTGTATCAGCATGGATCTACTTCATGTTTCAGACTCTTCTAAAACGATACCGCCTTTAAGGTTTGCTCCTACAGTTTCGAGCCATTTCTTTAGACTTCTGATGACAAGGCTAAGTTGCTAAAAGCTTTTCCCGGAACAATTTCTTATTTTCAAAAAAACAATAATGCCCCATGTCATGGGGTCACTCATGTGGCTCTCAGTGGATGTTTCACTGCATGAAGACTCATTTTAACACCATTTGCCTTTTTCTTAGTTAATGGACCAAAAAATGATAAAGACCAAGCAGGAAGCAAATCTTTTTGTTCCTCCGGGCTGCAAATGCACAAAAAATTAAGTGCATCAAAGAATACATTATAAAAAAGAATAAAAATCTTTGAATAGGACAAGAAAAAACATCTGGGAACACTATTTTCTGAGATGAAGCTTAACTACAAAATAACGATACATTTAAGCAGCAACATATTTAACTAAATAATAGAATAGAATCACCTTTATTGTCATTGTAATTTGCATTACAATGAAATTGGGTACACTTACAGTGAAAAGTGTGTTTTTGCCCCTTTTTGATGAGAGAATTGATCAAAAAGCAACAGATTATAAAACCAACAGGCCAGTCTGTTGGTTGACTAACCAAGTTTTTATCCAACACGTGCAGATTAGTGTTTTTACAAACATGACAGTTTACAGCAAGCCTACCGACTTAAAACTTGATGAGTCATAAAAACAACTGATTATGTTACTTTCACTGTGTGCATCATTAAATTTATATTTTCAATTTAATTACATTCAAACGTCTCATTTGTGGTGGTTCTAAACTGTTCATTAAAACCCAAACTTTTGAGATAAAACTAAGAAAAATGGTTTCCTGGTTACTTACAGATTCAATTTAAGAGGTTGCTTTTCTAGACAAATTAAGCAATAAAACTTTCTGAGCCCGAACACTTTTCATCCCTGCTTTAAAAACCTGATAATTTGGGTAGATTTCAGTTACAGTAAATAAAGTCCATTGTTAACACATCAATAAATTATAGAGTTGAAGGAGTCAAGTTGTTTGGGATTTTCTTGAGGAAAACCAAAGTTCAATGCATCTTTACAAATTAATGGTGCAATTCTCCTTTGTTCCAGTGTTCTAATTAATTATCATTAGTGGAGAGATTTTTAGAGACATTTCTCCACGAGACACTTTMTTTTTCCTGCAGCATCAACTAGTTTAATTTAAGAACTTAAATCACACCGAGTGAATTGTTTAAATCAGAGGTCTTCAGTGTTGTTCCTCGTAACCCACCCATAGGGGGCATGTTTAAGATGTTTCCCTGCATCGGCACACCTAATTCAAATTGATTAATTGCCTACTCAGGCTGTCTTTGATTTTAGCAGAAGCCTGTCAAGGAGTAGCCCAAACAGCTCTCTGCTATCCACCATTGTTACTGTTGTTTATCTACTKGAGCAAGCGCAGACAAACTATTGACTGCAGCCGTCCATAGTGTGAATGAGCGATTTCGCATCTCTGCAGGGGAGAGGACTTTCCAAAAAACTTCACTCAGACCTGGATTCAAGCAGCTTTGATTTCAGTGCACAGTTATTTGTACAAATGGCTGAATTGAAATGCTACACTTYCGTACAAAAATGGCGTTGTGTAAACTGGAACTAAATAAAGAGCTTGGAAAGAAAAAATATAGAGAAGGCCATTATTAATA